CCGCCCCCCCGGGCGGGGCAGGCGCCCCCGCCGGAACCTGGTGAGCGCTGGGCCAGCCGGGCAGGGCCGCAGGGCGCTGCCACCCCGTGGGTGTAACAGGGCAGTGTGCCCGCCCGGCCCCGGGGCGGCCGGGGGTTCCCTCCAGGCTGCACCCCACGCGGGGCTGGAGTTCCCCGTGGGATGCCCAGCACCCCCGGTGGGTGGCGGGGTCCGTGCTGCCCGGTGGGCAGGCGTCAGGGCTCCCCGGTGGGCCTGCATCCCTGCCAGGGCTATCCGGGCCTGCCCCTGGTCCCCAAGGGCTGGATGTTGGGGTTCCTTCTTAAGCCTTAGGATGTGGGGTGAATCCTGAGCTGGGACTTGCCAGGTTTGGGGTGATTTCTCCCCCATGTGCTCAGGTTGGGTTGGATGGACTTCTGTGTCTCAGTGCCCCTAGCTAGAGCAGCATGAGAGGCATCCAGGAGGAGCTGAGGAGTAATGACAGCTGTGTCACTGCCCCCAGAGACTGGAGAGTCCTTTGGGGTGCAAAATGGAAAGGATTTCCCAGGTCCTGCAGGTGGCAGGACCTCTCCCTGCAGTCTGCAGAGGCAGAGGCTGGACATGGGGATGCTGCTGCCACGGTACTCAGGCTTCTTCTCTAACCCAGGCCCACAGGCCTCCTTGTGCTGGCTGTGGAGCCATCATTTCACCTCTCCACACACAGGGCTGCAGAGACAGAGCTGAGCCCAGAGAGGTGTTGACAGCTGTGGTGATAAATGCAGTCAGACAGGCTGGAGCTGGGTGTAGTCGGAGTCGCACTGTGGGGGTGAGCACTGGGGATGGTGGTTGCCTGAGCTGCACTGTGGCTGGCTGTGCCTGCAACTAGCCAGCTGGTAGAGCACTGGGAAGAGCTCAGGACCTGCCTCCTTCAAAGCCTCTTCTCTCCCAGCATCAGAAAGCCCCTCCTGGGGCTGGTCTTGTGGCCCTGGCTTGCAGCTCTCATTGTTTTCTGGGGACAAGATGGGGCTGTAACCTAGCTGTGGGTGTCAGTGGTGCCTCATTCCCAGCCCTAACCTTGCAGCTCATCCCAGGGGCACCCCCACGTGGGCTCTTGAGGACCTTGGTGTGCACATCTGCCCCCCTCTCCTGGTGGAGCACACTGCAGTGCTTCCATGGGCACTGTCCCTGGCTGGGTTGCCTTTCTATTGCAGTCCTTCAGTGCTGGGTACTCAGCTGACAGCTTCTGGGTCACCTGTTTGTGTCCATCAGCAGGCTCTGCTTGGCCACTTGTGGGTTGGGTTTGGTTCAGTTGTCTCTCTGTTGTTGTCAGAGCAGCTGCCTGTGTCCAGCCTTGTGCCTGGAACAGTTTTCCTAAGCTTCAGATAAGATAAAACACTAGTGAAAACACTGTAAAGACATAAATACCCAGAGAGACTTATGTGGGAGAGAGAGTGGTGCTGGTTGAATCCTTCCAAGGACAGGAGACCATGGGAGCCTGGCCCACATGTGTGGAGCTGTTGTGGATGGGTGTGCTGGGCTGGAAACAGCACAGCCACATTCCCCAGGAACTCGTTTCATGAACACCAGCCCTGCTGGGGTGACCTGCAGCTGTCATAGTTGTGTTTCTCTCTTATTTTTTCTCTAGCTGGTTTCCAGAATGGAGGAGCTACTGTCAATGGAGATGTCTTTCAGGTGAATGCTCAGTCCCTTGCTGTGGCCCAGTGCTATTAAGTGGGATTGGGTGGGAATGGGGCCAATACTCTGCAGCTCTGCCCTCAGGATTGGCTGGAAAGGTCTGGATCTCTGGGAGCACTCCTGCCTGCTCCATTCTCATCCCTCTTTGAAGAGATTAGTCCTGCCTACCATGACCTGTCCCAAATCTGTTTTCAGGTGGTCTGTGCCCTCGGGGAGTGCCTAGGCCCTAAGAGCAGATGACACACTCTGCATTCCTCACGGAAGTCCCCATCTCCAGCCTGAATAGCTCCTTGAGGTCTCTGGGGCTGTCAGGAGCATCTCTTGGCAGAGGCCAGAGCTAGGAGGGGGCTGCCATGGGACTCTTGCTCATCTGTGGCCTTTCTGCTGGGTCCTGGCAGCCTCACCCATTAAACCCACCTGCCCCATGGCCAAGGATGTTTTGTGGGGCCCCAAAGCCCAGCTCTGCTGGCTGCAGGAGAAGCTGTGCCAGCATCTGATAAGCCCTTCACCCCACTCACTGCCCAGCGGAGTCGCACGTGCAGCTCCTGTGCCTAGTTTACAGGATGATAATCACATTAGAGTCGAGGCAGACTTAATTAGATTGGTGATCGTGGAGGAGAGCTGTAATCCCATGGCTGAGCTCAGCATCTTGTCCACCAGAAAGTGTTAGGAGAGGTACTGAGCCAGGGTGGTGGTGGGACTGTACCTGCAGCTTTGGCCTGCAGGCTGGTGTCCAGGCAGAGCAGTTCCTCCTTGGGCCCTCCCCCTCTGTTGTGGCCAAGCCTGTAACTACACTCAGTCCTGCAGCTGCCTTGGCCTGAGTTGGAGCCAGGGAAGCCCGGTGCTGAAGCCCAGTGCTGATGGAAGGAATATCACAGGATGTGAGAACTGCATTAGGAGCAAGTCAAGGAGGGGAATGCTAGGAAGTCTTTCTGGGTGCAGCTTGGGGCTGCAAACTGGGACCGCAGCTTGAGCAATACTCTGGGGACACTGTCCCCGTTGTCCAAGGATGTCACTCTCCTGTTTTTGGTCCTCTGAGTGCTGGGAGTGGGGAGTCCTGCCCTGCTACAAGCCCTTCGAGGTGGCTGGGCTGTGGGAAGAGCTGGTGCTGATGGTGAGGTGCTCATGTCCTGCAGGAGTCCAACGGCCCTACAGATGCCTACGCAGCCATAGCCAAGGCTGACCGGCTGACCCAGGAGCCGGAGAGCATCCGCAAGTGGAGGGAGGGGCAGAAGAAGCGTCTGGAGGAGCTGGGTGAGCCCCAAAGCCACGCGTGGCCATGCTTGTGGCACCTCGTGACGTTGCAGCCAGGGCCCTTGAGGTCCCTCACCTGGCAGTGACCATCCTGCATCTCAGAGAAGTGTCTCATGCCCCACGCTGTGTGGGTGCCCCTTGCCAAAGATCTGCTGTGTTTGGGGCAGTGACACCTTCCAGATGTGAGTGGGGACTGGGGACAGACCTGGGGGGCTGCAGCTGTCCTGCCTGCCCCGAGGGGCTGCCCAGCAGACCCAGTGGGTGCCAGTCTGGGTGATGGAATCTGTCTCACCCTGGTCTTAGATGCGG